GCATTTGCTAGCTCTGAGGAATTGTTCAGTGCGTAAATCAAATGCAAATGTCCTGTGCGTGTAACTGCACTGACAGCATTGTCCTCTCTGCCTGTCCAGCCTGTTCTGTTTGTCCTGTCCGTCCGTCTGTCTGTCTGTTTGTCTGGCTTGCATTTCGCCATATTAATTATGCGGTAAGTGCGGTAGCTAGCACTTAAACGCTTGCACTCGCAGCTATCTCCCGTGCCCACCCCTACCTCAAAAACCAATTGACTTTGATTGTAGTTTTCTGACCTGGCCAAGTTTTAGTAGTTTTCATTTTCGCACGTAGCCCTAGACCCAAACTTATCCACATACTATATCGCAAATGAGTAATCAAGCGGCATAGAGAGGCGGTACAGAGTTCCAGCTCGTAAAATGATGCTCACGTAGGAAGTACGTGCTGTTGATTTGATGGTCAGTTAATTATTATTTTTTGCGTTTATAGAGCTCAGCTCTGTACCACCTGACCTAAAGGTCCCCTTGGTGGGCGACCTCTTACGTCAGCAGTCCACCAGCTACATGGCCCGTCTTTCTGCCCACCCCAATATATTGGCTAGAAGACTTTTCAGAAGAAAGCGACGGAGACTTCGCAGAATCCACCCCATCGACCTCCCAAACCGGGTAATCATTTGAAAAAAAAAAAATAAATAAAAATAATAACAATCATACTAAAATATAATGTATATTGAATAATTATAAAACTTAATAGGTAATATTAAGTATGTCTATCCCATTATAGTCAAGCTAGGTTAAGATGCTCATGTATAGTATCAATAAATTAGCTAATAAACAGAAAAAAAAAAAAAAAAAAAAAGCTCTGTACCACCTGGATATGCATGCGATATACATCGCAAATCAGAGTGGGTTACTTTTTGTTGGGTTGGGCTTGGCTTCAGTGAGTCAAGAATAGATTATGACTGGACAAGCGGCGTTATGAAGTGTCCCATAAAAGTGGGACTAACAAGATATTAAAATAAAACCAGATATGTGCGATACAATAAAAGCAAGAGATATGGCGAGTACGCTGATACGTGTAAATAAGAAGAACTAAAATTACAAGAAGGATTGGATATATGACTAGCTATAAAAGAATTCAGCATAAGAGGGTATAAAATCATATCCTCTGCAATGATTGGCCGGTTTTTATGGCAGATTTAAGCTATTTATGACGCAAACAAAGAGATCCGCTACAGTAAGCTTTAATTCTTTTTGTTTTTGTGAGTAGTTTTTCCAGGGACTTTTCATTTTAAAAGATCATACCAAGGCTGATTCGGTTTGGTTCGTAAGCCTAATTCCCCATATCCATAAACTTAAGTTTTGATTCAAGCCTTGATATTGAAAATATTTTCAAAACTGGGATAATAAAAATTCAATTTTTAATTCATAATTACTCGAAAATAATGCGTGTTGTTCATAGAGAAGGCGGGGGCAAATTAAGAGATAAATCAAATGTTTAAAGCCCAATTTTCACTATGGTGCCGAGTCTACCTTAAAAGTTCTCTATTTTGACTCAACCAAAAAAAAAGACTATGGTTAGTTGGGGTTTGGGTTCGGCTATATGTTGAGTAGTTGATTTGGTTTAAGATTCGGTTCATAATCGACAAACAAGTATACCATTTAAATATAAGCATATTTGAGAACTTTAATCTTTATACAAGTACTTAAACCTTTTCGATTATACTTCAATGAAAAGAGCTACCACAATGATTTTCAGGTTGCTCCCAATCAGTGGATAACAGCCTAAACCTGGAAATTGAACCTTAACCTAGCATCAGCAAAACAACCTTCTCACTCTGAAGCAGCATCCAGGAAAACACTTCCTTAATACTTATGATTAACAAAGTTTTTTTTGTTTTTTATGAGCCCACGCCACAGTATAAGTTTAATTTGGAATGCCGCTGCCCTGGCCTGCCCTGCCTTGCCTTGTTGTGTGCGCCTAATACCACAAAATTCACTGGGCCGCATCGATGTAATGAGATGGCGAAAACCACCAACGCCAGAGAGCATTTCCTATGCTCAATGCCAATATTAATCAATTCTATATGGAGCGCGCGCAACGCTGCTGGACCATAACAATCCCTAACTGGTTATCCTTGTGCAGCAACAACAACAGCAACAACAACAAGTCAAAACTCATTTCGTGTTGCGACTTTTGATTATGATGATTATTACGCGTAATCGCCGCTACATGTGCTACATGCAGCGCCATCGCCCCAGCCGCTTATTGATGAAGTACGAAGCTGACGTTGCCCCACGGCCAGAACCCTGGGACACCTGTGTGTATATTATTATTACACATGCGGCATGCGGCGTGAGGCATGAGGTATGGGGAATATTGAGCAAGGGCCTGGTACTGGGCAGACGAATTAAAGCAAGATGCACACGCTGTAAATGGCCACTAATGTGGGCCCAAGCATATGAGCAGAACAACATCCACAATGCTGGGCATTTATATAGGAACAGCTTAAGAAATCGACTCTGGCATGCAAATTGCAAATTTCAACTAGATTAAACTTTGCAATCTACAGCACAGTTTGCACATTACAGAGCTGAGAGATTAGTGAGTTATGATAATTTTCTCTTGCAAATTGCACAATGTTTCGATTACGTTCTCTTTTTTTTCATAAGCTTTTAATTTGAAAACAGATTCGATTTTACAAAATGTTTGCTGAGATTATAAAAGAGAATAGTTATCGACTGAGATTTACATAAAGCAAAGCCTGACTTTAACAAAATGTTTAGTTGCTTACAAAACAATTGCTGAGAATTGAATAAAGATCTTCTTTTTTTCGAATGCATTTGCCCGAAATATCTGTTACTGTTTAGAAACTCTAAAACATTGTAATTGTAAATCAACCAATCGATGCAAATATCTCGCAATAAAACGAATTTGCTTTAGATTGAAGTGAAACTTCTTCGTCTGCCTCTAGCTGTTTTACCAGCAATCAAATGATCATCAGAGTATGTAAGACTTATATAGCAACAATATATATACAAGCTCAAGAGCAGACTCACTGAACGGCTGACGTAACAACAAGTTAACAAGATAATGACAGTAGCGGCAGCGGACGAGTAGGTTTAGTTCAGTTCGGTTCAGTTCAGACCGCGACTCTGGACTGGGTGACGCTCTGCGAGGTTGCAACTAAGTTGCCTGCGTTGTGCCCCGCTCTGTTATTTAGCTGGGTGTGTTGTATGTGCCTGTGTGTGTGTGTGTGATGAGTGTGGAGTGTGTGTGTGTGTGTGATGAGTGTGGAGTGTGTGTTCGCTTTGAGTGACGTGCCGTGCGCATAAGTGACTGATGGCCGGCGACGTCCAGCGCCCAGCCCCTTTCTTTATGTTGCTGCTGTCTCCGCCTCGACTCCTACCCCTGCTGCTGCTGCTGCTGGCCAAAGACCATAATCAAGTATGCTAAAAAGACGCGCAACCAAAAAGGAAATTGAAATGAAATATGTACATACATAAGCGTATACATATATGTATATGTGTATGCGTTACCTGTGTGTGTGCAAGTATGTGTGTACTATGTCCCAAGGTAGGCAGCGACCATTCGCGTTTACTCTTTCATGGTATTTCGCACCTGGAGCGGCGGCTGCGAACGGCGGCGCTCGCCTTGTTAAGCACAGCGTCGTTAACACTTAAGGCAGTTATACCCTGTATACCCATTGAAAAGGGATGTTACATGCAGATTGAGGCATAATCAAATCTGTCCGTCCGTCTGCCCGTCCGTCCGTATATGTTGGTATGATTATTATGTATAATCATAGTTTATATCAGCTAAAGACAAGAGCCATTCAAGTTTATTATCGAATACCATTTTCAAGTTATTAACAACTTTACCCATTTTCATTTAATCGATTAATATCGATTTTTAAATTCAAGTACTCTAAGCATATCTCGCATATGATAAGAGATAACGCCTAATAATATCATACTTGTTTGATCCCCTCTCTCAACTCATCACAAAATTTTAAAAATGAAATCTATCTATCAACACACAATTTCATTTCAGCTACAAGGTATCCACTAGTCGGGCATGACCGACGAGAGCACTTTTACTTGTTAGTAGTTGTTGTTGTTGTTGTTGCCGCTGCTTGTTGCCCGCTTCGTGGTGCTCTTGCATTGCCAACAAGCTCATTAGTTTCATAATTAGCTTTCGTTATGCTTTTCGTGTATTAATTAGAAGTTATTGCCAGCTACAGTCCAGGCGCCAGCCCACGAATGGGTCCACTCAACACCCAGACTGAAACACTGGACACACTCGACCACGCCCACAACATTGCGCCAAGCACTGCACTTACGAGACCTGCGACTCGACCATGAAAACAAAAAACAACAAAAAACGGGAAAAATAGAAAAACTTGCTTATCAAGAGCTTGTTTTCCGCACTATAGAGTTAACCTCTTTTTATTACAGATTACAGCTTTTCCTCCTTTAGTTCGTTGTTGTCTTTTTTCTTGTTTTTTATTATTGGCCAGCCACGACTAATGCGCAGATAATGATGCTGCGGCTTTGATCGATTTGATAACAATTTAATTTCGAGTACACGCACAACGTTTTTTCTTATTCTCAGGCAAGATTTACGCGAGATAATGCAATGCGGTGTGCAAGGCACGTAGGCAGATTAGTTGATGGGAGCGACGGGTAGAGGAGTATGTGAGAGTGGGGAGGTGGCAAAGTAATGGATGTACACGCATTTAATTTGGCTAATGGTTCATGGTTTGACAGATAAGGTACCAAGAGCCATAGCAGGACTATTGAATCAATAATATTTAGTTTTTGTCACAATTTAGATAATGTTGAGAAGAAAATGCCACAAAATATTAGAGAAAGTGAGGCAGCCGTTGAGACAGAGCTCTAGAGTTCAAGAGAGAGAAACAACTTGTACTCAAAATACTCTTTAAAATTTTTCTTAATAAAAAATGACAAGCGAGCAACAAGACTCAATTTGATTTAAAGAAAAGAATATAATATACACTTACCACAAAAAAATCAAAGTGGTGCGTTCTTTAAAGTTTGACTTTTTATATGTTGCTATTCCACTCAATTGTAGCCTCTGTAATTTTACATATTGCACATGTAATTTTTCCACAGTCCAAGCATGATTAGCTGCAAAGTATAAAAAAGGTATATTATATTATTAAGTTTTAATTTGCATAATTCATTTTATATAATACACTTACACAAAATATTTAGCAAGAGGGGCAAATAAAAGTAAAGGCTATGACGTCAGAAAATGCGATGCAAACAAGGTCGCAGAAGATAATGAGCAGACACTTTGGCGGCCTCCAGAAATAACGAATAACGGACCGAAAAGATTTAAGCATAGGAATCGCAGTCATTCAAGCAAAGAATGAAAGTTAAAGAAGAGCAAAAATTCCATGTGTGTATTTGCATAGTATTGCATACAAATAACTTTTGTCTGCTATGGCTTGCGTATCAAACTACATCCATACGTACAAACATATGTACGTACATACATATGTGCACCAAGTTGAAAGCACTTTAGAATTGCATTTTTTTCTCTTTGACTTTTGATATAAATGTATGTGTACGCTTAAACTGTCGTATTTTTTAATTACACACAAAACCACACATTTATTTCACTTTAAACATGAAATTGATCACATTCATATATCCTAAGCCCTTTTAAGCAATGCTGCGTAAAATGTGAGTGCTTCTTCTTCCTAATCGTCCAGCAGGTGGCTTGCGAGCATATCAAATTCTAATGCAATTTTAAGCATTTTAATAGCTCGATTTCAATAAACGACACTAATTCAATTATAAACAATATTTTGATAGCTCCAATTAACTTTAAATTAAAACAAATTTTGGCCTTTAACCAATTGGCACTAACTCCACACATGATAAAATAGCAGAACTGAATAATGTGACCAGGTTGTAGAAAGCCAAAATTATTCAACCATACTTGTTACTTATCACGTGATCGTGTTCCAAAGCTGCGATAGTAAAAGTAACAGATGAAAAAGCACTGCTGAATAGTACAACAGATCGTGACCTCTATCGAATATCGTTATTGGTAATTGTGATTTTTTACAATGCTGCGATAATTATTTTTGGAAATTACCACAGACTTTCGTGTATTCTTTGCAAATTCGAATTTTTACGTAAATTGATTTATTGCATAATTTAAGCTGTTGAATGCAGCTGTATGCGATTTTTGTAGTATTTAAGTTTTTGTTGTTAACATTGTAAGCTGCGCTTTTCAATTTGCTGCGCTTTTAGCCCCACAAGCGTAATCAAAGTTCACTTCTGTGCTTTGTTGTTGTTGTTGTTGTTGTGTGCTTGCACAATTGCTTGCGCATAACAAAAACCAAATCTCGCATAATAAACATAGCAAGATAAAAAAAATACAAAAATGCTGAGTAAACCTTATTAAAAAGGGATAACAGAGCACGAGCAACGCTAATGACAATGCCTGCAAGGATGGCCTGAATGAATAAATGAATGGTTGGGTGCGAATGAATTGGTTGTTTGTCAGTATGTGTGTGTGTGTGTGTTCCCGTTGGTTGTGCAAACACACACGTCAGTCAGCCACGATTTCCTTCCGGGAGCAGTGCAACCCGGCCGGGGCTTAACGCCGTTAATGACCAAGAACAGCGGCCTCGCCCTTGCTATCACGGCCGGGGCAGTGCACGGGTCGACTCGTTATGACGATTTTATTACGTGTAGTCTCAACAATTGATGCTGCAATGTCATACGTCAGCAGAAGGTGAGCCAAATCAGGACGCACAGGACGTCGACAGGATAAACAATTGTTACACTAAGCAACATAAAATGAGACTAATTGGAATGACTTGTAATAAATGTAAATTTACCAAAAAAAAAATAGCATGCTGCTTGAGCCCGGCAGCATAGCATAGTTGGTTTTTTTTTGGTATTTTTTTTAAAATCCAAAGCTAGCATTTAGTACGACACTTTCCATGTTGTTTAGTGTACACTTTGTAAGTAAAAGAAAAAAAGTGCAGCATAATGTTTATTTGTCCGGACAATGGAAATTTATGTGTTTCTGCCGTCTGGCCAAGGCATTAAAAAACTTTTGCCCAAGATTTCGTTTGTGAAAAGGGTTGCGCCCGACCCACACACCCCCTGCTGACAGAGACTTGGGACAAATCTGCGTGGCCAATGCAACTTAATTAAATTTGAAAATACTTTGCTGGGCCGGAACTCAAGAATTATGATGCAAAATGTTTTCGCTGTTAATTACAAAATTGTAAAACTCAAAGTTCAAATTGCAATTTGTATTCATTTGTGAAGCCGCCATTAAATTTGTTAAGCGCCGATGCCGAAGCCAACGGCGCCAAATTATAAATTAATGCGGGCGGTCGGCTGCGGCTGCGGCTGTCACAGCGGACACCTTCGGAAAACCCGCGGTTGTGAGCTCCCCCGGTCCTCCCACCTACCAGCACTCAAGCATTCACCCACATAATTTAAATGCATTTCCTTCGGCGCATTAATTTCCTAAGCTTTTTTGCATACCAAAATCCCCGCACAAAACTGCGTTGAATGTAATCCCATGAGCTTTAAAGTCACGTGTGTGCGCCCCTGCCCTGCTTTGCCCAGCCCCCGGCACTTGGCTAACGGAGGCGGAGTTGGAGGCGTGTGTTTCGGCGAGACTGACGCAACAACAAAAGCGACGGCGACGATGATGCCGACCGCGACGCCAGCGCTGGCATCGTTATTTGTTGTTGTATTTGCATGTAATAAATGTATTTGTTTATCCCCTCGTCTAATTTTTAACTGCATGTGGAAAATATTTCACAGGCGCTGGCCACAGGCAGAAACAAAGAGATGAAATGCTCTGTTGCTAGGGTTGTGTGTTGCGTGTTGGAAAGAGAGAGAGAGAATGAATCAGTGAGGGGGCGGGGCAGCCAGTGTTGCTCCATTTGTTGTTTAACCAGCTAGCTTTTGCGTAAAGTTTTTTGTAATATAAATTGTCCTGCGGCTGGGCACGGGGCCAAAATTCTATACGCTGGACCCACTCTAAATATTTTTTAACAGGCTGCGTATTTTCAAAAATATGTATGGAAATATATTTGTTTTATAGATGTGTGTATGTATGTGTGTGCGTGGTGTGTATTGCAGAATGCAAATATATTACTGAAGGTCGCTTTTCCTTTCCACTTTCCCTTAAATCTCTTTAGACGGTATTAAATTTAGCATTAAAATAGAATCTAATAAAAAACTATTTTCGTACGTGTTTTACCCTCAAGGAAAGACTTGCAACAACTTATAATCCAAATCATATTAGAAAGTATGTATTTATATTCTTTAAAAAAGTCTTAAATATGCGATTAACATAATCAAATTCTGCAGATCTTTTTATTACTTTTTTATTTTTGTATTTAGCTAATGTTATTTTCAGACGGACGGTCCTGTGGCGCAATGGATAACGCGTCTGACTACGGATCAGAAGATTCCAGGTTCGACTCCTGGCAGGATCGATTAGAAATACGTTTTTTATATAAGTATATTTTGCTTTTAATTAATTAACACAAAACACTTAGGTGCCACTTAGAAAGTGTGTTTTAATATTATGAACAATTATTTGATTTTTAAATATTTAAATAAGTATATTAACGAATAAATAGTACGTAAATGTTCAAATAGGTTGCCAGTGTGTCTAATGTAAAAAGTCAGCATGTATTATTGCTATTATAAAATTTAAGCACAAACTGGGCAAATCATTTTTATAATTGAAAATTAAAAAAAACCAAAAAATTTCGCTTCGCCCAACGTGGGGCTCGAACCCACGACCCTGAGATTAAGAGTCTCATGCTCTACCGACTGAGCTAGCCGGGCAGTTGATGGTGCGATCACCAATTCGTGAGTAGAGCTGACACACATGCAAGCATACATAGTATATTTATGCTAGAGAACAAACTTATTTTGGTCGATATTTTAAATAATTTTCAATTTAAATATAGGCGTATTGAAATACATCTTAATGTAATAAGTATAGCAAGGGCCTTGTTGTAATATTTAATTGAATTTGCTCAAAAGATTCTGTAGAAGTTTGTCTTTATTGAAAGTTTTGCAAATTTGGTTATTTATATACATATATGAACATGCTAGTAAAATGAACATTTGATGTAAAGATTTGTTAATTACGAAAAGTTTTAAAATTAGTATGTAAGAAATATAAAAATTCCGATTTCTTTAATATTTAGAAAATCGTATCTGTGAATGTACTTTGTTCTTTCTATAAGGTTTAACTGAACTCTTCGTCATCTCGACGTGTTCATTCATAAAACCTGTAACAAATGAGTCTCGCTGAGCTCGTTGAAGATCAACGCATACATTAGCTCACAAAGGGAAGTACGAGTTTAAATAGCCCAGCGGCATAAATTCCATTACGAGTACAATTCTGTTCCGTTTCTCAGGGCAGAGCTACCAAAGAGGTGCCAGAACGAGAACTACATACCAAATGTTGTGCAGAGAGATGAAGAGGGAGGAGGGAATGAACAAAAAAATGGTTATTCATAATCATTTGTAACGCTTAATTGTTGTCTTTGCGGTTTTACCTCATGGGCTGCTTTTGTATTTTGTTGTTTGCCCGACCGCAAATTGTTTTTAAATTCATTTCTCGCTCGTCCAGAGTCTCGGATTCTTTGTGGCGCGCGGCAAATTACAAAGCCCAAATGGGTAGCCTGAGAATTTTTGATTATTGTCATTATATATGTTCATATATATATATATATCGAACCAAAACCATTTGGAAATACGAGTATATTTTCTGTGGAGTCATGTGTGAGGCGGTTCATACTCGAGTTATTTCCCACCATGGCTGTGAAATGCACGCCCAGACTCGAGACACGCTCGTCTTTTTATGTCTATCTATTATACCCTGTACATTAATGAGCTGGTCCAGGCCCAACGAACTTGTAGCCTGTCAGAGCTAGCATTAGCAAATTTGGTGTAAAGGTTTTCTATATCCTATTGAAATGTATTTGAAGTGATGGTTTTTCAGAACTCTCACTGGTTTCCAGAAAAGCGCCTTGGTTTTTGATAGGATTATAAATGTTTGCCTTGGCTACAGGGCATCTGTTAGTCGCTCTCGTTTTACACTTATTCGTTGCTTATTTTTGTTGAAAATTTAAATCCGCACGCGTTCAGATTTTTGCCTTTGCCCGACCCTGTGCCTCGTCCTGTTGCTGATGTTGTTTTATTATCCTTTTGCTGGCACTTTTTTATGAGTTAAGCCAGACGCGGCTTATCTATGTGACAATGCGGTAGGCGCCCAGGGGCGGGGCTGACAGTGTGTATGTGTGTGTGTGTGTGTGGCAATTGCTTTTATTGCCAGCCTACCAGGCTTGCGTACCACTACCTACCCCCTCCCCCACACCACATTTCATTCATAAATAAATTAAATAAAAATATTTTTCCAAGCCGCAAGCCATGCAACAATAACAAATAAGAAAAAAATGTGTATATATATGAGAGAGAAAATGTTGAACGGCAAGAAATCTGCATAATGAAGCGTAATACGCAAATGGATGCGGAGTTTTCTGATTGGGGTAGCCGGAAACAGCAACAGCCACGGCAAATGCCAAGGTGAGGAGTTGGCTTCCAGAGTTCCTTTCAGGGGGAGGGTTAAGTGCGGTTTACGGCCCGCCATGCTCACAATTGAATGATTTAAGGTAAACAGCATAATTATGCAAAAAAAAAAAAAAACAACAAAAATATAAAGTATATGTGTTGAGCAGGTGCTGTTGATTTTCTATAGATTTAAATAATACACACAAATAATAGAGAAACTGGCAGAAAAGTTTGAATAATGTGAAAAAGAAATAATCTGAATTTGCTTAGATCCACCGAGAATTTTAGATAATTTACTATATT